CATCATCTGCTTCTTCAGCGATCACTTTTATTTCCCCGTTTTTCCTTCCGGATTTTGGACCTCTTAAAAAAATTAGAAAATATTACTGCAAAATCTTACGATATATTAAAATATCTTTCGATTCCTTACATTAGTGGAAGAATTCGACTCGATGAAGGTGCACCAACAATTTCAGCCAATGTCGATTCGGCTTTGCCCAAATAATCGTGTTCGGACAATAGGCAAGACGTATTATCAATATCATATCTGCAAAAATATCGCATTTTTCTCGTCAAATATTACAATTTTCAATTTATTTTGAATAATTTAAACCATAAAAAAAAATGCTCACATTTCGAATTTAACTCTTTGTACTTCTTCAAAATAATAATCAACGAAAATCGGTTTACACCATTCGGGATTTAAGCAATTGCGGATTGTCTCTGTGCGAGCAATCTCGTGATAATTGCCATCACATTTCGCATCTAAATTCACCGACATTATCACCGACACGAAAAAAATTTCCAAACTGATTATAAATTTCGTATTAGAAGAAAGATAACTTAAAGATAAAACAAAGAAAACAACCTCTTGCGAGATATACAACACACATTGGATCGCTTTTTGAGAAAACATCCGAATCATACAAATTCCTGAAATCAAATGCGATGAATTAGCGCAACAATGCGGCACTTGGTTATGCTAAATTTAGTTAGAGCAAATCATTTATTTTATTTCGATTTAATACGATCATTTATTTCCTTAAAGGAGCCTTTCGAAAGGATTCCAGGGGAAAAATTTGGAGAAAACAGACAGGTGAACTGGGCTATTCAACACAACACTTATAAACCTCGAAAACAGCAAAATTTTAAAAGGGACAATAGAAAGGGAGTCTCTGTCGAGTCCCCTTAAATTTAAATGTAATGTAAAAAGAGAGGCGGAAATATGGTTTATCTATCATTTCGGGCAAAAAGTGTTTGTCGCTAACTGTTATTCCAGAATAGCAAAATTGACAAAGCTGATAACTTATAAAAAGAGAAAGCAAAAAATCACTTAGCAGAAAGATTTAGTCGAATCTTTGAACATGGAATATCGTCGATGTTATTCATTCTTAAAACGTTCGTTAATCAAGTTGTAAACGATCGTTTCGCTCTGAAATAAATGGAAAATTTATCCGTTGTCTTTGTAATTCCATAAAAATTTAATAAATTGTTAATAAAGCAAAACTAATTAATAATTATTTAAAAATCAAGAAAATCAAAAAATTAGAAACTGATAAAAATGATAAGAGTGATAATGAAAAATGATAAATAGAATGATAGAAATGATAAATGAATCGGTTTGAATGAACAAATTTTATGCGAAACTTCCCTAATGCCAATCGCACTTTTCAGGCCTATTCTATCTTTTTAAATCATAAAAATTTTCAGATTCAAAAGGTTCGCAGAGAATTTTGTGGAAGTGCACCTTTGGCTTCAAACCAATACTCACAAGCCAATGATTCTTATTATTCTGGCCCTACAGCATTCCACGCATATCCTCCACCTCTACTTCGTTCTGGAATATAACAATTTCAACGGTCTGACCCTAGAAGATCTTCCCTATCCTTCCGATTCTGCCACATAACTTTCTAAATATTCCATTGCTCCTCCTTTGCTCCTCTATAAACCTCATTTTTTTCATCCTCTACCATTCTATAAATTCCTCGTCCATTTAATTTTCCCAATTCTCAGTTCATTTGCCTAATCATTGATCGTTTTCAGTAGAGCTCATCTTCGTTACCAATATAATATACCAAATAATTTCCCATTTTTCCAAGGGGCAAATAGCGATTCGTACTTTCACTAATGTTTTCATCATGAAAACATTGTAAAATTGTCCAGAAATTGTCCATTAGCCTAGTCAGATAGAACACTAAAAATTTCTTATTTTCCGCTTTTATTGGTTCTTATTTGTTCTATTTCTCTGTGGCGTTATATTCACGGTGCTATTCTCCGTCAGTATAGAACCACTATAGTATTCAATAATATTCACTCTAATTTGCTGCAAATTGTTATACTATTTTCGCTTAATGACAAATACAGTCGAAAAGCAAATTCTCATTTTTGCCTTACATTTTAAAGAGAATTCTAATTTTTAATATTTTCATATTATTTCCTTTGATATTTCACTTTATAAATTTTATATAAATATATAAATTTAAATAAATTTAATAATACAAACTTTTTTGTGCAAAATGCACCGTAAGAAATAAGACTTTTTATATAAATTTAAAGACATTAAATCAAAGGAAATTCTGCAATTCTTTTTAAGGAAATGTTTCGTTAGGAATATAGAAATACAGAATTTTCATGATATAAGCAACGCGTATTTTGCATGAGGAAAATTGATAATTAAGACAATTAAGGCTGATAATTATGATAATTGATAGCGAATATAGTGATAACTTCAATCACAATAAAATCGATGTCAATGTGACAAAACGGTTATAAGTGGCACTTTACGACGTTGGAATTCGATTAAACCAAATGATCTCACAACATGATGAATGATCTTGAACTTAAAGCGCAAAATAACGCAAAGAAAAATATTTAAAAGTGAGAAAATCAAAATTAAAAATAAAAAAAATGTTCATCAAATCGATGGGAACGCAGGAAATTGATAAAAGACACAGCGAACGAAGAACCGACCGCTTTACAGAATCATGTAAAGCGAGAATGACAGAAAGAAACACCCTCTTGATTATATTTATATATTTTATCGCTGAGGTCAGCAGTGCAAAGAGGGGTCGGAGCAGTGGCAATTAAAATTAAAGTATTTATACAGATGAAAGGTCAACGAGGTCCTCAAAGGTCAGCCAGGTCAGTCAAATTCAAATAAGTTAGCGAATCTTACATAACTTACAGTCATAAAGGTCATTTCAATCAACGGGTCATTCAACACCCCTTCGGGCGGATATTCAAATTTAGACCTCCACCAGTTTAAAATAATCGAATTTTCATAGGAAAAAAAATAAATAAGCACGGATTAGTTGTCAATTATTTTAGTTGGAAAATATAAAATATAACAGGTTTGCTGCTTCTAAATTCATTATAAAAAATAAAATTATAAAGTAATTAATTTATAAAAATTATTTCAAATTGAATTAATAAATAATGCTTAAATGAATATAATATAAATGAAATATAAATATAATAAAAATTAAATAAATAAATATAATATAAAATATTTGACCAAATGAATAATAATTATAAATTATCGGGAAAAAAATACACAATTACACAATTACACAAACTGGTGAAAATTGAACTGATAAGAAATAAAAAAATGTAAGTGATTACAACTAAAATAAAATAAATTGGAAATAAAATGAAAACAAAATAGCAACCTTTTGCAAAAACAACTCTTAATTCCCTTATCAATTAAAAATTTTGCCGCTACAGCGAACGATTTTTTTAAATTTGAGTTAAATCTGACTTTAATATGATTGGTTATCAGTCATATTTTTCATGATATTTTGAAATATTATCTTTAAAAAAATTCGATTTAGAGAAAATAAATTTAAGAACAATAAAAATGGTATTTGTTTAGCCAAAAAATTTATTTAATGTCAATGAAATTTTAATAAAATATATTTCACCTATTTAAATAAAGCACAATGCGATATTCGTTCTAAAAAAGCGATGCGCATAACGTTCCCAAAATTCCGATAAAATTGCCTAAATTTTAAAATCTTAATCAAATTTCTTTCCATTGCATTTTTTCCGTTAAAATTCCATTTCATAAATTTTTTTGTACATTTATTAATGTTATTATATACATATATATATGTACAATCATAAATTTTATATATAAATTTACTTTTTATACAAAAAGTATAAAATTATCCTATGAAAAGTCGATTTTTTTGCTATTAAAATGTCTATTTATCCTGAAAAAAGCTTTCCCTGCCCAGGGAAATGAGACGTGTTAGGGAATTTATGGAATTGGGGATTTAGGCGATCAGGCGAAAGAGTCAGTACGAGCAGCCATTCGTTATGTTATAGATACTGTCATTACTGTTAAATTTGACAAAATATTATAAAGCAAGTACAATCACCTTTTCATTAGCTGCAAAGTCTTCATTCGCTTTATTTTTCACCAATAAGTCCGAAATCCTTGACAAATATAACTAGTGGAAGTTTCAGGTGAAGAAAATAATAAAGAATAGCCGATGGTTGTCGGTGCGTGGAGGGGAACCAGTCGGTTTTTCATTAATAGAAGCAGTTACATGTGCGCATTATTATGTCGATCCACATTCATAAGATCGACCAATTTCATTTACGGCCTTGTTGAGAAATTTTTTGCCTTAACATCTCTTCTAAATTATAACGTAACGCATTGAGTTCCCTAAAACATTGAAAAGAAAGAGGAGTGGATCACCAATTAATTGGAACTTTTTAACTTTCACAGTAAAGGGACAAATTTCACTGAAAATTATCACAAAATCCTCATCGAGATGGAATTTTAGAAACTTATTAACCGATCTTTCATAGAGGTATTATTATAATAAATCTGATCTTCGCTACGCTGATGAACGTTCTATATTTCCCAAGAATTGTTCGCTGCCAGTTGTATCGTGATTTAAGCTATCACTATGCTCATTATCACTTATCATATTTATCGACCATTGCATAAAAATCACTTTTATCAATTTTCTTCAAGCTAAACGTTGCCTGTCATGAAAATTCTATATTATTTCAATAATCCTAATAAAATCCTATTTTCTTTAAAGAGTTATGAAGTAGAAGCAGAAGGATAAGGAGGAGAGGGATCAAACAATTGAAATTGCATTCCAGCACTTCCAGAACATTTATGAGGTAGAGGTAGGAAATATGTTTGACATATTGCAATGTGAGGATACTAAGAATCATTCATTCACAGGTGGTATCGGTTTGAAACCATAGGGAATATCCGCACTTCCACAAAAGAAAATGATTTTGCAGTATTTCTATTTCTTTAAAGTCTAAAATCTCATTTATTGTTCGTATTTTGCACAAAAAATTTCTAATTGTCCATTTCAAACAAAATAAATATTATTACGAAAATTATAACAAAAATATTATGAAGATTTAAAAATTCTAATAGATTTTTTAAAATGTAAGTAAATTGGAAAAATTACAAATTGTTTTTCGACAATTAAATATTTATTCGATTAGACTGCATTTATTTTTCAACATAAAGCATTTTGTGGAAATAACAAAGAACCAACGTTCAGCAAAGTCAATTAAATTAAGTTTCTTATCGTACAGTGGTTCTGCACTGGAGCACCATAAATATAACGCCACAAAGAAATGGATGAATAAATAAATAAAAAATGAAAATTTCTCGATGCGACTAGACTGATGGACAATTGTCTAACAAATCTTGATGCGATAAAAAATTTTATATAGAGAAAACAAAGAAAAGAACTAGGAAAGTACCAATCACTATTTGTCCCTAAGAAAATGGTCTATTATAAATTAGAATTTTGGATTCACATTGGTCGCATTGATTGATATTTTCCCTTCTAAAATAATGAAACTGATGATCCATGAATAGATAAAATAAGTAAAAATTATAGCATTAATGTACAATTTGATATTGTTGAAAATATGGTCAAAAATAAAAATAAAAATGAAAAAGAATGACAGAAATGAACTGAGATTTAGGAAAATTAAACAAATGAAGTATTTATAGAAACGCAAATGGGAAGAAAAATGAGATCTACAATAATGGAGGAGCACTAGCTTTAGGAAGATATGAAGGAGAAGCAGAAGGATAAAGAGGAGATGGATCAAATAATTGAAACTGCTGTATTCCAGCATTTTGAGAATACTCATGAGGTAGAGGTAGGGGATATGCATGAGATGCAGTAATGGGAAGATTGCAAGAATTATTGGCAGGTGGTATCGGTTTGAAACCATAGGGAACATTGCTAATTCCACAAATATTCAGCGGATTTTTCAAATCTGAAAAATTTTCAAGTTTTATTCACGACTTATGAAAGTGAAATAAGCAAAATGTTATCGTTCAGCATAGCCAGATTAAGATCGCTCCATTAGCTAATTAAAATAATGAAAAATTTTTTGCTAGTGAACCACATGAACCACATCCCGAGAAAAAAATGACCAGATAATAGGGCTATAAGAGTTTTTAAAGAACAGGTTAATTCTTAGACAGTTAAGCTCATCAAAGCAAGGGCAACCGCTTAGAAGAAAAAAAACCCAATTTTTATGAGCTCAGGAGAAAAATACAAAATTTTATTGAAAAAAGAATTATTTGCAAATTTTAAAGGACCTGAAGAATCTTTTGGTTGACATGGTTGTATATCATTAATTTTCATGTAAGAAGTTAATTGAGTGGGAATTTCTGCGAGGACTTCTTTCGCCAATTTAGCAATGGCTACTGAGCTCTCCTCTCCTGATATGCTCTTTTCCATCAGAAAATTACGCAAGGCAACAAACTAAATAAAATTATTGAAATTATTTAACGTTTATCTAAAGGAAAATATTTAAAGAAGAGAGAAATCCTAATATAGTTAAACGAACAGTGCAGTAAAATAAGTCTTGAAATTTACTGCGTTTTTTTGAAAAATTACCTGAACGATGTCTCTTTGAGCAGTTCGCCCTTGATACCTAAGCAAGCTATCATCGGAATCCAGTCTGCGCATACTCTCGAAATCTTCACCTCCGACTCCAATAATTATAATTGACAGTGGCAAAAATGAAGCCTAAAAGAAAATTTGTGAAAATTACTGAAAAATACAAAATTTTAGAATGAAAAATTAACATCAATCACTAATTAAGTAGTATCTAAGTACTGCAAACTTAATTAAAATAGTAGATTATGAAACAATGAAATAGATAAGAACCGATATAATGGCGCTAAGTGTTTGATCAAAATCACAAATTGCTCCATCCGTGATTATCAACAAAATTCGATACCGACTACCATCTTTACGATAATTAATACACTGCAAGATAAAACTATATAACTATAAATTATCAGTCGAAGAAGAGGTCCCAGTCTATGAATGACTACACAAAGAGAAAGACGAAAGAATCTTCATATAATAACTGTCTTAAACCAAATTTGCAAACTAAAGGATTCCTTCAGCTCTCCTCTTCTATTCATCTATTCTTTTCTTCGCAAAAATAGAGAAAATTTCTGATTATGTCGATTAAATCATTTAGCCAAATATGAGAAAAGAAGAAGAATATTATATAAAAATATTTCCATAAAAATTAAAAATATTTTAACTGTTTTGGCCGCTTCATTTACGACATTTGCAAAATTGGTTGGACCATATAGAATACACTGAGGAAGACAGAATCGATAAGCATCTAATAATCCGTTCACTCCATGAACACAGAACGAATCGCTCAAATTCTAAATGTAACCACAGTAGTTAGAATTAAAGATAGATGAAAACTGTGAAATAATTTCTGCATATAATCATATTATAAACTGATCAATTTAGAAATTTAATCGATTAGAAATCCTAGTTGGCCGCCAAACTTCAACGATTCTCTATGGCCAATGAAAATCCTTAAGAATTGAGCGGAAGCCAAAATCGAATTCAATTTTATTTGAATGGTCACTTATAACGATGATTTTACGTCGTTGTTACCTTTATTCAAAACCCTTAGGTAGAAAAAAATTTGATTAATTCTTCAAAATACCGGTGTCCACGAAATTCATCAGCCATTTCGAGGACTGACGGAAAAATGTGGAAAAGCGACTGTTTTCCTAGTCCTAACAATTAACCTCATTATTTTTCTACTTTGTTCTCTATTTCTGATTTTAAAAAATGTACAAGTGGGAAACAGTGGTTAACGGCTGTATAATGCGGAGGTATTTTAGCGCCGAAGCCCATAGCATCAAAGTTTTTCGTGTTATTGTAATGCTGGCAAATATCAGCCACAGCTCGTATCGCAATAAAATATTCGTTCGGCTGGCCATCGCCAATATAGTGCAATGATCCAGGCTTATTGATTTGCCCATTCGATGCGGTCAAATCGATCGCTACTGAGAAATCCAATTGCGTTCTGCAAAATCTTTGCTTGAATATGTGGGAATTTAATTTCAAGGAAATATAAATAAAATATAAAAATTTTAAAGGTCAAAATCGAAAAAAATAGAGAAATCTAATTCTATTCGAAATATGAACACCCTCTTAGCGTATGCGAATTATCGAATGGGGAAAATTTTGTCAAAATGTCCAAAAACTGCCAACTAAATAGAAGAAAATTGAACTACGATCGAACACAATTGTGCCCATTCATTAAAATCCACAATGCACAAAAGCGAAAGAAAATCGAAGTAGTACCCTCGAGTAATGAAATCGAGAAAAGAGTATTCGCGTTTAATAGCGACCGTATGAAAAATTAATACACCAGAATTTCGGTATTTTTTCCATTTTTTCTGCATTTTCTTTTCATTTATCAACTAAAATAATTTTAAAATATTAATTTTATTTCGAATGAATCAATGGATATTTGAATAGATAAAAAATTTTTTAACAGTAGTATTTTATTATTGAAACAAATTTATAGAAATTTATAGAAAAATTTGAAATAAACTAAAATATACGAATAATTGCTAACCAATAACAGTTTTTTTTAAACCTACAACTCTCCTCTTAGTGGAAAAGTGTGATTAGACTAAAACTCATTCTTATTTTATTTCTACTTTGTCTTATTTATGAACATATATTTCATAAATAATAATTTATGAAATCGACTAACAAAAAGTTCGATGTCTTTCTTTTGCAGCAAACGATCAACATTTGTTTCACAGTGTCCAATAAAATCATGACTGAAATTATAAATTTAATTGTAAAGTAATTGAAATTGTTAAAGATGTTGCTGTGAAGAAATACGAATAAAATTACAGAAATAACAAAAAATTTACTATAGATTAGGCGGAACTGAATAAACAAGATCAAGATGGCGAGAAATATTTGCTATCTGGCAAATCTAAGAAAAAAGAGAAGTTCAACTCATAAGTGATTAGATTAGTCCTACAGCACATTGCATTGAAGTCAAGCAATAATCATATTTTTAAAGGGCAGTGAACGTACGTTAAGAGTGAAATAAGAATGGTATTAAAGAAACTGTATCTCCTATCCAAGTGATTCTCTATGGAGTAAGGGTTGCAAACGAGAATATCAGGGCAGGCAAATCAGTGAATGGTAAAAAAAGAAAAATAATTTTCAGAATTTTTAAGCAAAAATCATATTTGAATAAAAATTAACACAAAATTATAAAGCAAAAAAAATTAACCCGCCATCTTTGTCATAATCGTAGCAATTGAATCGTAATCTTCTAAAAATTTTAAAAATGAATTTTCAAAAGTAATTTTAAAATTATAACAATTTTTAATGATGACTCAAATTTTGTTAAAATTCCAACATTCGAAATTTATAGGCATAAAAAATTAGGCAAGGCGGATCGGTCTTAGATTGCGCTAAATATAAGTTCAATTTCTGTCTCTCATTGAATGTAAATTTTTTATGAAAAGAAAAATGCTGAGGACTCATCTTTAAAGGAATCTCTGGCTAAAAGCTCGTAAAAGCTGGCAATCATCTGTCATGGAGACCACACAAACCAGAAATCGCGCAAGCTTAATAAGATTTAGAAGAAAAAGTAAAATATGTCAATTGGGATGTCATTTTACCTATCTGGATTTGAAGAACACAGTAGCCGCATACTTATTTCTATGAGCTTCCACTCTGGATTGACTGTTTTTTTAATAATTTCCGTACGATGTAATAAATATTCACTGAAAAAAATGGAAAATATTTTATTCATATTCTTGAGTATTTTCTAAATCGTTAAGTCGTTAGAATAAATACTTCTAAATCTCTTATAATTTATAGAATAAAATCGCTGGCTCAGACTGCCTATTCGTAAAAGCGGAAAAAAGTCGCGGATCAAATATTCCATAAACTTCGCTGTCCACCTTTAACTCATAACTCATTGGTAACGTTCTTCTAACTCCAGTATAAGGTTAATTCACATCCTGATAGTCCTAACAAGTTTCCACAAGCTATATAACATTAGCACTTCCAAGGCGCCAATGTGCCAACACTTCTTCAAAGGTCTTGTGAATATCTTCGATAGCCCTTTGATAGACAGTCCAATCTATCACTACTAGTTAACCTTTATAATACTTTGAATATGCCAGATCCTGTTATTGTGGTACTTTGATATCTTAATATATTGCCAAAAGTGACCCTTATTACAATACTTCAAAAGGCTCTAAAAATATAAAACTCTGCCATATTCCCTTATTCTTCACAAATCCAAATGCATCCTTTCATTTTTATTATAAAAATAATACCACTTTGATAACATAGCTTCAAAAAAAAACTTTTCTTAACATTCCGTCAATCGTCATTATAAGCCTCACGTCACAACTATTTGATAATTTTGGAGGATTTGGAGTATTTGCAGAAATTAGAATTTTAAGGAGTATAAATGGCAAGTTGGTTACGAAAGAACGAAACGAAATGTTAGGGCTAAAAAATGTTAAAAGAATAATAAATAAATTGAGAAGATTTTGACGGTATGAGTCTGAAGATTGTTACTTACCAGCTGGACGTGTTTTTAATATTTAAATAAAAAACTAACGTTCCGTCATCATTTATGCGATAAATCTGCAAAAATGGATCGCTTTTACCAAACAAATCCTTTTTATCCAAATTGCGCGCAGCACAAACTAATTGCAAAGTTTCCTTCGCTTCATCATCTGCTTCTTCAGCGATCACTTTTATTTCCCCGTATTTCCTTCCGGATTTTGGACCTCTTAAAAAAATTAGAAAATATTACTGCAAAATCTTACGATATATTAAAATATCTTTCGATTCCTTACATTAGTGGAAGAATTCGACTCGATGAAGGTGCACCAACAATTTCAGCCAATGTCGATTCGGCTTTGCCCAAATAATCGTGTTCGGACAATAGGCAAGACGTATTATCAATATCATATCTGCAAAAATATCGCATTTTTCTCGTCAAATATTACAATTTTCAATTTATTTTGAATAATTTAAACCATAAAAAAAAATGCTCACATTTCGAATTTAACTCTTTGTACTTCTTCAAAATAATAATCAACGAAAATCGGTTTACACCATTCGGGATTTAAGCAATTGCGGATTGTCTCTGTG